GCATCCCGGACAATTTGGAAAGCGCTGACCCGTCTTGCTTCTCTGTGGTCCAACTGGAGTCGAGTCTTGACGAACCATAGGGGGTTAGTGATAGTGTGGTTTACAAAGGACGCAATTGCGGCTGAAATCATATGTACGGGCGAAGAGTCGGGGGTAAGCCTGCCAGATTTATTCAGAAAGTCCTTTGTTTTGGAATAGAAAGCAAAGTAAATCGCTCTTGATGGAGTGACGCCAACCAACGTGGGACCAAGACCTTTGTACAGCGATAGGAACCCTTCGTGTTTGACCATATATCTGCCATAGGAAATAATTCCTTTGAAGCGATTCGCAGCAATGTTTATCTTGGTATCGGCTACACTGGCTGTACTGAAATTCACAGACGGGCCAGTTGATGATAATTTCTTGGCTGTACGCATTTTGGCAGCAGTTCGTTGACAATGAAAGGCAGAGGATTGAAGTCGGGTCTGAATAACTTCCAGTGGACATGTTACAAACGCACCGAAAGAACCTCCTAAACCACCACCAACAAAATGAACCAAAGTAGAGTGTTGCCCCTTTGATCGACTCATCCTAAGTATAGCACTGAAATAAAACTGGCTTACAAGCCGGTAATTTTGTTAACGGAATAAATATCCCCTTGGCTTTTATCGGCTGATGAAATATATTTTTGTGTTAGAACGGATGACGTTGGACGACGCCTCCATTTTTACCAAATATGGAGCTGTTATGCAAATATATAAACACCTATTACATAACCGGAACATCCAGACCGCACAAAGAAAATTCCAACATGTTTATTCAAAACAATCCTGTCTTATTCCTCCTCCATTTGGATGCAAAAACCGCAGGGGAAGCCTGTTTTCTTGCCGGCCAAATATCGCTCCTAATATCTTGTTAATATCTTGACATTTTGTTTGTCTAGGACTCAAAGTTTATGCCAAGTCACGTGCCTTGTGTTGCACGCGAGCGGTAACTTGAACTACAGAAAACTCTTCCACGCTGAAATCATGTGAAAATTTCAAGGAAACTTATATACAAAACAGCACATCAAGTATGGTCAGAATTTGCAAGCCCAAGTACACTGCGAATAGGACTAACACAAAGGAGTAACGATCGCGTGACTACCCCTAATTGATAGGCGTTCTTTTTTGTACTGTGAAATTTTAGGAGCTTTCGGTCGGCATATGATTTCTCTATCAAACGGGTCTAACGATGACAGGAAAGGGGAGTAACTCCAGAATAATCCCCCACGTGTTGGAACGCTTAGAGGACCAAAAAAAACAACAACACAATGGGCCGTTTAGTTATGCAACGCGAGGCAATAGTGATGAAGTGGGTATCTGAAGTTTAGCACGTAAAGGATGTGAGCCGTCTGTTTCTGGTTTGTTGCAGCAGCCAGCGCAATTTGCTTTTTCCTCTGTCAGCTTGCTAGCTGTACTGACTGTAGACAATGAACTGTACAAATGTAAGGGCACTGTTCAGGTGTTTAAACACAGGTATCCCAAGCTCGAAATATCAGCATCGGCATTGTTGCGTAACATTCGAAATACAATGGAAATATGACTTGTAAGGGAAAAAACCCATCGTTTCTGTAACCTACGAAAATGAAAGGATTTCCATAAAAAAAGCTTATCTAACTTAAAATGTGTCTTATGTCTCTCCTGTGTAGTCCACGGGCCGATTTATGGCCGTTTGATGGGTTTTTAAGTAAACCTTATATAGAGAGAGAAAACCATTTACGAGGGGAGGAAGGAAGTACTCCCGTTAAGGACCATTCGGCCTGTACACAGCTGGGAGTCAGTTGTATCCTTTTGGGTTAAAAAAGGGTAGTGCCCTTTCCAGGTCTCCTAGGGATGAAAGGCTAAGTAAGGGCTTCCCCATTAGGCACAACGGCGGTGTTTCTAAAGTATAGAAGTAAAAGACATGAACGAACGTTTGCTTGATCACACGCGAGTCGATACTGACTGAACATCGCCCGAGGGCAGCCTTATCCCGAGGGTTTTCCCGTGTTCCTCAAAGCGGCAGAAGAGAATGTCGTACTATTATCAATAGACCTCAATAGACCCAACGCAAAAATTGCTGCTGTATTAATATTCTTTTGTTAAAATTAAAATTAGCCTGACTTGCCTCCCCTGAGATAATGTTTTCTTTTGAATTTTGTATTGAAGAACGAGGCTAGTCCGCAGGCTAATCTTATTTTAAACAAAAGAATATTAATCCAGCACAATTTTCTGAAATTTTGCATTGGGACTATTTAGGGCCTGTTTACATGGAGTGGGGGACCCCGGTCTAGTGGGGTTGGTTTCTTTTGTTTTCACGCTCTGGGGGACACAAAACAAAAGAAACCTACCCCACTGGACCGGGGTTCCCCACTCCATGTAAACAGGGTCTTAGATGGATATTTGTGACTTCCACAGTCCTCCAGACTACCAGCAGTGTTAGCAGTGGAAAATGTAATTATTCTTAATAACGATGCTAATATCTACGAGATGTAGTTTATTTCATTTAGTAAACGTAAAAAAAAAAAAAACTGGCTTCATCACTATCAATGACAATATTTTCCCTTAAACCATTGATTTTCAGTTCTATTTGTACTAAATTGTACCTACGTTTTGCTTGTTATTGTTCCGAGCATCTTAATTCAACTGATATTAATTTGTTAGCGTCGCTGATTTGATTGGTCAACAACCATGTGCTATGACCTATTAGGGTTGGTTCACAGTTTGTCTAATTGACCGAGATTACTTTGAGTTGGTCAAGCGTCGGTAAAAAAGCAGAAACTGTTTATAAGTGACATCAAAAATTAGTTTTGTGGACGCGAAAAACCGCGAAATCAGAAAAACAAAAAATTTGAGATGCAATTACGCTGTGTACGTGCTCGATGGAGCTACACATGGCCTTTGCTCTGAGGTTTCTGCACTTTCGCTAGGGTTATCGGTCGTTTCGATACAAGCTAATTCCTTCGAGGTGTAGATAGTTTCACGTAGTTAGCTTAAAGAACAACGAATATTCACCCAAAATATTTTTCTTGTTCAATTACAAACTTTACTTAAAGTGATCAAAATTTTTGCGCAATTTCACTGCTTGAGTTTGTATCGAAACGACCGGTTTCCTTCGTCAGTATTCTGACCAGCAATACAACTGTTAACGAGATAAATGAGTTAACTAACTGTTCTACGTTCGCCAGTGGGTCCGCCCATAAGCTACCTACTACAAGGCAATTACAAGGATTTGTTTCCCGAGGAATATCTTTTTTATCCTGCACATTTTATCGTATTAACATAGAAACAGAAAAATGTTTCAATCGAATAGTCACACCATAAGAATTCATCCATAGTAAATCAGTCTTTAAACCTTTCAGGTTATTAAACAGAGTTATGTAATCAGTCTCACTGGACGAGTACAGTGACAACCATGAAATCATTTCGCTATTAAGTCTTGCCGCTGCGCATCTGTTTCGCTACAGTGACAACATAAAAAGTGTGAATTCAGCTGAAACATCATCCTCTAGTTTCTCCTGTATATCCTCATTTTCCTGTGAATCGTAAAATGAGCTTTAGTTGAAGTATTATTTCAGACATCAGTTACAAAATCAAGTGATTGACCAAACTGTCAAATTGAGAAATGACTTTTTGGCAAATAGAAGAAACGAACGGTGAGCTGAAGCAATTTGGCTACAGATTCACTTCAACCTTCGAATCTTGAGGCACAGTCACTGCTATTGACTGACAGCGTCATTCAGTGGAATGATTGACAGCTTCATTCATTGCGGGATTGTTTGCTTTCCTGATCATCTTCCCTTTGTTCCTGAGATGCACCCGAAGCAGGACCCTCGTCTTTAACACCTGCATCTCCTTCGCCTCGCCCATCAGCACCTTCGCTGGTTACACAATCCTGCTCCTCCACCATCGCTGCTGATGAAGACTCTTCCTCTGTACTTTCTTGCACCACAGCATCAGCCTGTGCTTCACCTTCAGGCTCGGCCTCGGCATTTTGATTCCCATCTTGTAAGAAGTCATCAAGTATAATATCTTCAGGATTTGGAACTGCTTGAAGAAACTCTTCATCAGGACAAATTTTTTCAAACACTTGTTTTGCCTGTTAAGGGAGAATTAAAAAAAATCTGTCACGAAGTTGATGCAAATGAAATCACCAGGTAGCATTACCAGTAAAAATTAAAAAACAGATTTCCCGACCCTTTCACATACGAGATTGCGAGCAGTCTCTTATTGTTTTCTCTCGTCTTGTCCCGATCCCTTATTGTAACGTCACTGTTTGCAACCTCGCTGGCTGGGATAAGAACTGGACGGATTTAAAGAGAAAAGGCGGAAAGTACCTGTTGCAGTGCTTCTCCAAATCCTAACGTGTTTCCAGGCAGCAAGAGAGCATGGACATTTGACGGTAGGTCAGTAAAGCATGTGGGATCAGGAGTTGCTTGGTTAAAATATAACGACCATAATGCTGTTGGCTTGTCACTTGTCATAACACCTGTTGGGACACAGTGTTTAATAACAAAAATTTAATAGGTTATGTGAATCACAGCACTTACGTACATCAATGAATAGTATTACAAATTCAGTAGCCTGAGAAAAAAGCCGACATTTCGTGATGCCGCCATTGGTTCCCCTGTGAAACAACGTCTGAGGAACGAGTGTAGAAATTCCATACTGATGACGTGTCACTACCTAGATCTGGGTAGTAATACGTCACGATTTGCTTGTGTTGTGAATGACATCAAGTTTCTATCATATTTTTTAGCATCATTTCCCACATCTGTAGCTAACAAATCCTATCATAATGTTGATCTCACCTTCAGAGGGAAAATAGAACAGTTTCTCTGCTGTTGCTTCCAAGTCATCCTTTGCTGAAGAAGACCCTTGGCAAACTAAATGGACAACATAAAGGCCCTTGGGACAAGCCATAGTGGTTGGGCCCAACTCTATAACTCTCACAGGTTCTCCTCCAGGTACTGAAGGTGGCACAGAGAGGACAGAGATAAACTCCTCTTCAGACGGTTTGAGAGAACTGCAAGTTATAAATACTGCTCGAGAAACAAACTGTTCACAATCCTTTCTGAAACGTTTTGGCACATAGGAATGTCCGAGTATAAGCTGTTTACATTTCAGTAGCTGATTGTTTGAGATTACTCCTGTGCATTCATTGTTTGCATTGTTGATTGTGATGCCTGATGCATCTCTTCTGAGGCAATATAATCCACCGAACACTGCACACATTCTACAAAACGCTTGCGGCATTTCTCCGGCACCATAGAGTGGCCAAATAAAAGGTGTGTTTCCATATCGTCCCAGCGACTGAAGAAAACCTTGTGTTGCTTTGAGACCTTGCAGAGTTGGCGTTTCTAGTTTGACCATTGCTATGGCATGGATTATAAAGTGCTGCAAGTTAGGGGTCAACCTACGAGACTGCAGAAATTCAGCATAGGGTCGGTCTTCATAACCCTCATACTGATCTTTTTGTTGTTCAAAGTCAAGGCAGAAAGTTAAGAATTTCATAAGCATTCTTTTCTCCACAATGGATATCACACTGCTGCTGAAGACGTCAGCTCTAGAGCATGGTACTTCCTCAACTTTTCCATCCATGTACGTCAATATCCTGGTGACAGATTTAAATTCTGCATAATGACTGATATTTGCTGAAATCAAAGCTTCCACGAGTGGCCCTCTGGAGAAGAGAACTTTAGGAGCTACATCGATATTAAATCGTCTCCAATAGGGCTTTAAATCATCATAACTCATGTTTACACTAATGGGAGGCTTTGTTTCATGTCTTTCTCTTGGTGGTAGTACAAAAGGAATTTCTGGCAGGTCTCCTGAACCTACTTCAGTAGGTACTGCAACTTTATTTTCTACCTCTGGCACCTCATTGACACCACTCTCAGCACTTGCTACAGTCTCATTCACTGTTTCTGACTGGTCATATGATTTTCCTTCCTCTGAGCCCTCTAAGGCTCTTGATGATGCATTGCTCTCTTCAGCATTTGAGTCTGTTGGGGCTCTAGCATCTTGTGATGTTTCAATTTTGATAGCTGCATCTGATTTCCCAGTTTCACTGGATTCTTTATGTTCCTGAAGCTGAGAGGAAACAACTGTGGGCTTAAGAGCATCTGTACCTTTTACTTCCTGGTTTGTGACTTGTGGATCTACTGTATCTTGTTGTGGCAGTTTCTTACTGAAAAAATGAAAAAAATGAGAATACATCACACCAAAATAAATGCACTGTTTATCTGCCACTTTCTTACCTGTCTGAAAAAATAGACTTAGGGGGTGTTTACACGACACTGGGGCGACTTTCGCGCCAGAGCGAGTTCACTCCGGTTCCCTCTCATAGCTCTATATTTGTTTACATGATACCACCACAAAATGTCATGCTGGCAAGAGTCACCCCGGCGTGAGTTCACCCTGGTTCTTATACCGGGGTGAGAATTTCACTCCGGTACAAATTCTCGCAGCGGTATTATGTAAACGCGAAACAACCACCGTACCCGTTTCGGTGTGAAATCGGTCTGCCGGTAGACTGGAATGGGTAGCGCATGCGTAACGTTTGCGATTTTGAATCGCACGTGTATTTTAACAACATGAAGTGTACCTTCAAATAACGAGATATGAAATGACCCAGTCATCATGTAAACGCGATGCAAAATCAAAAAGTCATCCCGGTATGAAACTCACGCCGGTGCGAGTTTTCTCAGGTAAACACCCCCTTAAGACAGGGATAAGGATATGTCTCTATTCAGTGATTTCTTTTGTGTCCTTGGCTAAGTGTCAAGGACAGTAATAGAAACCTCTTTTTTACCCTTTCACTGGTTCACGGTAAAAAGTTAGGGTTAGGTTTAGGGTTGGCCCATGATCTCAAGTCAAATATTTCTACCTTTAGGTTACAAGCAAACAGAGCAGAGGGCAACTTGAAAGAAAATCTAAAAGTTTATTGGAAGTTACTTCTCCCCAACACCCCTTATTTAATAAATCAACACTAACCTAAAGAATGACTTGACCACTACATTACTAATTTCACTTGAGTGGCTGGGGATTGGAATTGAGTGCGTACCAGCCTCCAGCTTTGGTTCTTCATCGGGCTTTGCACCAGTCTCCTCTTGTTCATTTGCGGCTTCCTTGCAATCAACCTTATTTTAAAAATAAAAACAGGTGGTTGTCACAAGGTGAATCTCAAAGTTTAGAAACATGATTCAGGGAGGGTTGAACACTAAGAAATCACGGCTGCCTTTGCCTCTTATGTAGTCTTCTGTCCCTTAACAGTTGGTTCTGCTTTTTCTTGCCACACTTGCTTCTTTCTGAAACAGCAAGGTACTAGCTGGTGAACTAATCAAGGGAGAAGTTACTTGCTGGTAATAGTAGAGCCCAGTAACGTGAAGTTATCAGTGACTTCAAGCACTAAGCTATTGATGCTGATTGATGGAAGTGCACACATGTCCTGACCAATGATGGCGGTTTTCTTAATGCTGATACAATTGAACCTCCATGTGTGACCATCTTTGTAAGCAACCACCTCCCATAAGCGACCGCCTATGCAAAACACCAAAACTTTCCCAGTCAAAGCCTTACAGTAACAGTAACTGTTGGAACCTCTAGTAAACAACCACCTCCTGTACGCGACCACGACCACTTATTGTGCCTGAAAGTTTAATAATCTTCCATTGTTTTTAACCTATTGTAAGTGACCACTTGACGCATTGTCTGATCTCTATGTTCGCTGTGCCCACTATGCTACTTAGAATACATAAAGAACTTTAGTAACAACATGGAACTACACATGGTGTTACTTAGAAATATCTTCCATAAAGTAAGGATGTGCCCATGCCCTTCCTCCCCACATGGTTCGATTCCTTTAAACGAAAACCTCCCATCAGCGACTACTAACTCTTTGCATTTTGGGTGGTCGCTTATGGGAGGTTCAACTGTAATGAACCCAAACTCTCCATAGGCATGTGCAAACTGGTTGATCGGCTGCTCAATACCCTTCTCTCTATGCGCGGTCAGAGCTACATCATTGTCAAATAACATTTCCTTCATCAAGAGTGCATGGACCTTAGCCTTTGCCCTTAAGTACAATAATTCGCAAAGCCTACACCACAGATGAAACTAAACTCTGATCTTGACACTGCTTTGCACACATTACTAACCAAGGATTATATATATATATATACAGGGTGCAAAGAAAGTCAGTTTTGCAGCCTGCCATTCGGGCAAGTTGTAGCTAGCATGTACTAGCCCACAAGTCATTTAAACTAGCCCCAAAACCCTTTTTGATTAGCAGGATTGATTACAATCCTTCTGTAATTTGCCCTTTGGGCAAGTTAAGAACAAAAATCACTTGCCCAATAGCAAAATCCACTAGCCCCAGGCTATCCGACACAACTTTCTTTGCACGCTGATATATATGTGACACAGGCTACGGATGGAACAACTTCCCATCACTTCTGGTTTAGGTGGTCCACTTTTGAAACTGGCATTTAACTATCATTTTTCATGAAAACATTTGGGAATTTCGATATAGAAAAGAATACCATTTACCAGCTAGACCAGGGGTATAAACACCTTAAAATAGGAAATAACGAAAGCAAGAATAGCCAGGGTTGGAATTTTAATTATTTGAGAGAGATCCCCATTCGATTCACCGGTTGCATTATAATTACCCACCTGATTTAGCTCGATCCATTTCAGCAAACTTTCAAACGTGAATGTTACCCATTGATCAGAGTAATAATCATTCCTATAACAAGAATCTTGGAAGATCAGTATAAGCTTAAATGTGCAAATGTACGGAACTAGCGATTAAACATTAACGAATTTACGTATTAACTGACCTGTCTAAATGGAGAACTTTCATACCAATTCTTGATAATGCAGCTGCCACAACAGATTCAGGGAAACCTTTCATCGGGAAAGAATGCAAAAGCGCTTTAAAGACAGCTACGATAAGACTGTGACACATGAAAGGAGCATTGATTTACATCCATGCATTTTGTACCAATATTATTTTAATATTTCACCGATTTTCTCTTTACATTTTATTCCAGCATCTGCCAGTAAGATCTCGGGAATAAAAAGTTAACATCAAACTCTCTCATATCATCTACAGCGTTAAATTAAATACTGTGTACCTGTTCCCAAAACGATAACGTCGAAATCTTCAGGCAGCTCGTCCGCCATTTTGACACTTCCGTGCCATACACAACAGAAGATCTGATTGGTTGGTGGGTCTAATCCAATCAAATTGTCTCTTAGATGATGTCATTTAGCGGAGGTCCCAGTGTGCAATTGATCGGATGAGTGAAAACTACATGTATTTTAACAGCTGGGGAGACAAAAAAACTGTCTTTGAAAATGGTCAAACTCGTAATATTTGACCTCGGGGGTGTCATTGTTACAAGTCCTCTCTTTGCTTTTCAGAAGTATTCATGGGAGAAAGGAATTCCAAGGTGAGCAATGTATAACCTTGAACAAGCTTATTTTTTAGCCTTTTAAAAATATTTTAAGCTTCTGATTGCAAACCCATCAATAAAAGGAAATGTTCGCAGCACAGACTGGCTTTTTCCCTATAAGAGATAAGTGCTGTATGTAGTTCAGGGCCTTCGATAGTCTCAACATTTTCTATGCATTCCTTACCCCAGCTCTGTACTGATCTTACCCCACCCCACACGCCACCAGCCCACTCCTTACCCACCCTTCCCAGGTTGATCAGCATCTCGTCCATAAAGAAATGAACTGATTGCTAGCATACCATTCGTGTGCCATCAGGATTAGCTCAGCTGCTAAGAGCACTTGATGCAGTCAATGCAGAGCTAATCTTGTACCCAGCATAAGTCAGAGTGAGAATCTGTGTACAAGATTACTGCAGAGTAGGTTGTTGCGGGTTCAATCCCAAGGACCAGACTAACATTTAAGGGTGTTAAATTAACTGAGAAACAAAGGTACTGCCTTTGCCTTGCAAACAGCTAGAACTTCATGTGGCTTGGATGACCACCTAAAGTGTCAGTTCTTAATCCTTTGACACTCAAATAAATCGCATTTTTTTGTTTATTTGTTTGTTTTTTTTTCAGTGAATTTGTTGTTAAAAGTTTTATAAACAATGCCAAAAGGCTTGACACTGGTCAGGTGTCTCTTTCTCAGGTGAGTTGATATAAATAATGTGATTTAGCAAAGACAACGCAAGGTCAAATAAGGAACTCATGGCCCAGGGGGGGAAATCAAGATGTCAAGTGATAGCGAATGGGGGCAAAAAATCAAAACCCAAAAAAGTCCCTATGGCCTCCAGCAAAACCCAAGAAAATCCCTGGACAAAAAAAAGTAATTTAAACCAGAAAAAAAATTGAACTACATTATATATATAGAAATTATTGATTGTTTGTGTTTGTTTCTTTATACTTGACTAATGTCAAGGGATGCATCCTGGAAAATCAAAGTAGATGTTTATTTGTATATGAACTGCATCTCAGTTTGAGAAGTATGTCAATGGCATTTGATGATCTTTTAATAATTTTGCATCTCTTTTCTTAAAAGTTTTGCTCTGAAATGGATGCAATTTACAAAGAGCATGCATCCAAACAAGGACTAGATCTCTGCAACGAGTTTAAATTTCAAGAAATCATGGATGAATACCTCTCCACAGCAAAAGTCGTACCAGAGATGCTGAATGCTTCAAATGCCCTGAGAAAGCATGGTAAACCACCACTTTTACTAGAGATATTAGCTTATTGAAGTCGTATTTTTAAGTACCATTAACTGCCGCTTGTAAGCCCTAAGCCCCCCCTCCCTTCTTTATAAGTGCCTGATTAAAAGCCAGTTTAAGAAAAACATATTTTGCTCAGCACTGCCATAGCTTGTTTGAACGGCTTTTTTTCATCCAATTTTAAGCCCAGTTGGATATAAGCCCCTATGTTTATAAGCCTCCAAAAACCCCTTACGGGGCGCTTATAAGTGGCAGTTTACAGTATTACCAGTTGACATTGGTATAAATTACCAATGGAGTTAAAATCTGGTGGTCTGTTATTTTTAAAATATATCTATGTGGAATGATAATATGTATTTTCCAGGTATCAAGACCTGCATATTGACAAACAACTGGGCCAATGATACTGGAAAAAAGTTTAAATCACTTCCGTTTCCTCACTTACTTCACTATTTTGATGAAGAGTTTGAGTCTTGCAAACTTGGCCTCTGTAAACCAGATCCTAACATTTACAAGCTTGTCTGCTCAAGGATGAATGTCAAGCCTTCAGAGGTAAGTATATATATTTTATATTTTAAAATACCTTTCCAGAACAACCTATCTAATTAGAACGCTGTCTTTACTACACAATCTTCTCTATATCTCTTACGTCCTATTTCCCTTAGGTTTATATCGTAGATGTATTTTTTCACTTAATTAATATCACCAAACTCAGGTTCGCTTAAGGATGATTTTCCAAAGCATTGTAGTTGGATTTGATATATTAATCTACTTCTCCTTGTGCCTTTGGTAGTCTAGTTTTCTAAAATCTTATATGATAAAGTTATATACCCAGGATAGGAAACTCTGCTTACAATGTAGTCAGCCTCTCATGGTCTGCAATTAACTTTTTAATATGGGTACCAACTGGCGATCAAGTAGAAATTTTTGGTCACCAGACAGTAAATTGTGGTCGCCACAAATTTTCACTCCCTTTCATTAGAATAACAATTTAACACGAATAAAAAAAG